TGTGACATATGCATGCCTTGTCCAATTAAAAAAAAAATTGGGAGGCAGGGTGAAATAAAGAAAGAGTTGCCAAGGAAGTATGAAGCTCGGAAAAACAGTTAGGTCCTCTTCGGGCATGGAAAGTAAATCAATGGAGGCATTGTTTCATATGCTGATATCCATGTTATCAATCACCCTAACCTTTCCAAACCATGCAGCAATGCAGAACACAACAGGGTTCTTGATTTCTTCCACTGCCTCCAAACTCTCCTGCTCCACAATCTACAGACAAAATAAAAAACATAATTGTGACATTTCTAGTTGAACCTTTATAAGTTCCTCACAAGTAAATATGCTTGTAACTTGTATTGTGCTATCCTATTGATATGTGCTTCAACAATAGAGTATACACTTGATAGTAAAAAACAATACAACATTCTGGTGATATGGCCATAATTTGCAAATAAACAAGTTTAAACCGTGGCTAACTATTAAAAAATTTTAATTATTAAACCTTTTTACTTTTAAATATTAAAATTTATTCATATTTGTTTACACCTAAAAATAAACTAATGAGAAAATGTCACGTGTCAAGTTGAAGCCTGATTATCAAGAAAAGTCAACAGGTTGGATTTGAGTTAGGCTGGATTATAGTTTAAGGGCCCAAATGAAATTTTAAAGAAGATGAATTTCATGTGGCAGGAGATAAAATAATTTCTGATGTTTGAGATTGATTTAAAGTAGGAAGTTGAGGTTTTTTAGGAGGAGGTTATCCCTAGGGTTTTATTAAAAATAAAATTAAACCAAAAATAGAAAACTGCCAGACAACTGCCAAACAACTGCCACATGGAACCCTCACTACTTGATCATGGTGGGAGAGGGCCGAGAAACATGGAGGAGGTTTTCCAGCACCAAAGAAAATAAAAAGAAGAAGAAAAATCAGTTCCAGATGGCTTGCTCTACACACACTGCTCAGAGCATATGTTTTTCAACTTTCAGACTACTTTTTTCAGATTTCAGCATAATTTCCATATTCGTTTGCAAGATTTGGTCTTGTTCATAACTTTAGTTTATTTTTTTTTTTTTCCATTGTTGTTCATATTTTTCCTCAAAAATTTCAATTTATGTTAGTTTTTTAAGCATTTGGAACCAGATCAACCTTGAGAACGGGTCTATCCCATTGATTTGGTTAGTTCTTCTTTCTCTTATGGATTCATCTATGTTATGTGTTCATGTAAATAGGTTAAATGCTTTCTGTCTTCTTTTCCTTGTATTTGTGTGTCAGACCTATAGTTTACTCAATTTCAAATTTTAAATTTAATTTTACAAGTTTCCAGACTTTAATTATTTCATAATTCTCCTTCAATTGTAGTTATCAAGTAGTTTAGTTATTTTTATTTTAAATCTGTAAGTAATTAGTTTAATTGTTATAGATTGCGTGGTGAAAATCATTGTCTTTGATTTTACATTTTTTGTTGTTTGCGAAGTTTTATTTTTGTGTCATGTTGTTTTCTTTTATTGATCTCATGTTAGATTACTTTGCCTTAGGATTTTGTGCTAATTTTAGGATTTGTAGCTTTTATTATACTTTTGTGGTTGTAAAATTCTTAGAAGTTTTCAAGACAATTAATAACTCATTTTGTATAACTCCACCCTCTGTTTTGTAACATCGTCTAGGGCACAATTTATTTTACAAACGTTCTTTTCAATCATCTTATTGGAGGTCAACCGTTGGAAAAGGAAAAGGTCATTTGAGAAATCCTGTTTTTTTTTTTTTTATAAACAAAACAAGTGGCACACCTAACATCCAAACTCATATTATAAAGGCCTGCTAAGGATTTTTTAGAAAACAATATTTAT